AGATGACGTGTGATTTGCATTTGCCTCGTCATCTGAGAGCGTTAGGTTATGCAACCGCGTTGGCATCGTCGTGAGTTTGATGGGTCAAACATATTTTATACGTCATTTGATATCACATGCTGGCTTATTGTTCCCATCTGATTTCCATTCCAATAAAATAACTGAGGTAGGTTATGCTACCGGGTTAGCTTCATCGCGAGTTTGATGGGTCAAATACATTTTGTGCGTCATTTGTGGAGGCATATAGCCAGAGTATATGCTATCTAGTGTGTTATATACATGCTATCTGGTTATGCTATCGGGTATATTACATATATGCTATCTGAACATGTATGTGACCTATGACACGTAAATGGTATCAATTAATACTATCGGGTATGTCAGCTACGCTATCAAAATGTAATCACTTATGTTAACTACCCTAGAATGCGTTTAAAATGGATCTGTTCGTGTCCTAATAAAAAATCCATCCTAGGGCGCACCCCCAACATTCAGCTTTCAAGATGTAACAAACGTGACTATCGTTATGGACGTCAATAATGATGGACTTTATGTAGCACTTTAGGAAAAGCTATCTCGAAGGTGGGTTAGCTTCGACTATATATGTGAGAAGGCGGGTGTATGTTACCTATCCTGAAAATATATCCGACCACATACATTAAAAAGTGTAGCCTTCTTCATTTTTTCTTATATAATATTACTGAAGTTAGCTACCCCGAAAACATATCGTCAGATGGGTATATAACTTCATTTTTTCTTATATAATATTACTGAACTTATACACTCGAAGACATACCATTAAAGTGTAGTGTTCTGCCATTTTTCTTATATATATTACCGCAGATTACTACACCCGATCACCTACCCCAAAACATATATCGAAATGGGTATATAACTCCCATTTTTCTTATATAATATTACTGAAGTTATATACCCCGAGCACATACTATCAAAATGGGTATATAACTCCCATTTTTCTTATAATATATTTCCGAACTTATATACCCAAAGTATTCACTAATCGAGATCGCAATTCTCTTCATTCATCTTACCAAAACTCGATGCATTTTTTTTGATATCGTTATGTACCGACCGAAAAAATTAATTTAAACTTTTCCAAACTATATTGTAATAATATAATCGAACAAAGATTGAAACATACCAATAAAAAATGAGCAAACAAAATGCACAAGTGATCGGGTACGGGGGCGGGGAAACCGATGACTATTCAAGTGACTCAGATGTTTATAGTGATAATATATCCGAAAGTGGATCAGAGAATTGCAGTGACTATGGTTCCGACTATGAATCAGATACCGAAACAAGTACTATTAAGTCACCAATATCCCAACCCCCTAATATAGAAAAACAAATGTCTAATTCGACAAATTCTACAGATCAAGTGAGCCCCATATATCCTGGTTCCACCAAGACTGCTTTCACTAAGAGACAAGAAAAATTCGATGATAAATTTACCTCAAAGGGTTTGCTAAATAAAATTCGTGAAATCGCTTCCTCACCTGCCAGAGATTTGTTAGATAAAAAAGGTTCACTGGAAGATGTATATTTATGGGATTATCTCTTACCTAATCATGAAGCAAAGAGCGGAATTAGTTTATACGATGCGTATAAAAGAGATGAATTAACTAATAGATTGGTTATTCAAGTAGAACAAGGTGAGTACAAAAAATTCTCAGTTATAGATGGTATTTCCGAAGTATATGGTTTACCTGGGATACATGAATGTATTAATGGACAACGACCACTAAGACCTGTGATTGATATCGACGCCTCTAGTGAAAAAATGAGATCAGAAAAGGTCAACACAAGAGATGTATTCATTCGTATTTGTTGTTCATTTATAAGAGCATTATACCGAATCCTTGATTGTAGTTGGGAAGAAATTCTCAAAGGACTGGTAATTGCTACATCATCCGACTCTAGTAAATGCAGTTATCACCTTCTATACGCTCCAACTCTTCTTATTGATTATCTAGAACTCAAAGAATTTACAGAATTGGTATATAAATTAACAGGAGAAAAATATGGTAAGTTTATTGATAGGGGTTTACCTGGTCGAAATTTCTGTCTTCGCTTAATTGGTTCAGCAAAAAAAGATCACGTGAAGTGCATATTTCAATTCTCACTAGATAATGGATGGAATGATCTCAATGACGCCAGAGTTCAACCACCTACTAGTTCTAGATATGAAATAAGACCCCGTATACTAAGTATAGAAAAAATAAATAATCAGAAAAAAATAATTGTGGGCCACGATGAGTTAAAAAAATATGTGAATCTAGTTTTGCAGAAGTATTCTGACTATCTTGGAAGTTGGGATATTGAAGAAAAAAATTCTCAATATTTTGTATATTTTAACCGAAGAGCATATCTAGAATGTCCAAAATGTAAACACCTACACGACAAGGATCAGCGGTGGTTCGGTCGCGCGCGTTATGATGGAACATTCATTGTGAAATGCTTTCAACAAAATCGTGATGAATCAGGGGAAATTTTCAATAACCCATCTATTGCAGAAAAAATCCAGAAAAAAAATAGAAATAATATTCCACTGCCCAATACACATAAGGTGAAGGGTCCAAAGTTTCCATGGCCTTTCTTAGAAATGCCAGCTTGGGCCAAATGCAAGTCCACTCTCACTGCCACTGAAGTATATGAAGAGCGATATATAAAACAGTTACCTGAAGAGGGAGATGTATACGTGGGGTCTCCTTGGGAAACTGGAAAAACTTATGCCCTTGAACATCTTGAATTACCTGATGCTATAAATTTACTCGCTCTATCTACACGTCATACGTATTCTAGTGCAGTTACTGTAAGGCTTAATCTCAAATCTTACTGCGATATTGAAACTAAAGATATAAATCTCCCGGATTATCAAAGAGTAGTATGTCAGATAGAAAGTTTACATCGCATTATTAATAAATGTAAATGCGAGAAAAAATGTAAATGCCTTCCAATACCATATGACTTATGGCTCGATGAGGCGGTGTCTGTGAATAGCCAAGCCCACACTCGCTTAGCAGGACGTTCACGAGAAAATTTATATAAGTTAATTCACGATGCAAGGCGTATTATTGTTATGGATAATGATTTAACTGATCTCAATATAGAATGGATTAAATCGCTTCGAAATGGCAAGCAATTTTCAGTTATCCATAACACTTACCAACCCCAGAAAGGTAAAACATTCCGCTTAGCTCCTAATAGAGAAACTGTGTTAGCCGAACTTTGGGAATGGGCAAAAGTGATGTCCTCATTACCTTATGAAGAGCGAAAAAGTGCATCACTAATTTGCCATCAGAGAACGGATGTACAAGGTATTGCTCGCGCTCTGATAAGAGATTTTCCAACATTGCGCATCAAAAGATACCATGGTAAATCTGATACAGTAGAAAAGGCTTGTGATTTTAGCAATGTGGAAGAGGCATGGAAGGACGTGGATCTTGTTGCATATACGAGTACATTAAAAATAGGAGTCTCATGTACTAACCCCAAGTTCAAGCGTGCATTTTGTCTTTTCAGAAGTGATATAGAAACAAATGCTGGAACTAATCAGATGCTATTCCGCATGAGATGTATTAAAGAATATACATGCCATATCGAACAAAAAGCATCGAATCTCCCAATTACTGAAGAAGGATTATTCCACTGGTTATTAAAAGCAAAGCAAGAATGTCTTCCTCATGAACTTCAAAATAAAGGAATATTCCCAGATGCGGAGTCTATCATACGAAATAAGGATATTCCATCGGTTCGGTTATGGGTGGCCTACATGTTGGAAAAGTTCCGATCTCGTCGTTTGTTTGGATGGAGAATGGTTGATTTTCTTAAAAAGGCAGGTATGATAGTTTCCATAATAAAAGCCACCCCCAAACCCAAAGAAGATGCCGTATCATTAACTGCAATAGTGAAAGCAAATTCGTCAGTTATTAAAGCAGAGGAAATTTCAGACATCGCTAATGCTGATATTCTCAATCATGAATCAGCCGAGATCTTAGAGAACAAGCCAAAGAAGACTTTGGGGGAAATATATGCTTTAAGCCGATACCATATTGCAGATTGTTATGGGATATCACCTGAATCTCTGACAAAAGAATTTATCACAAATTATGGTAAATATGATGAAATGAAATGGTTTAGAAATCTCCGAAAACTACGAGATGCAGGTACTGATAATGAGACAGCGATTAAAGCAATTACCCGTGAGGATTATAGAAATGATAGGCTCACAACTGTCACCCAAGCTGAAAAGCATCGAATTTGTCTGGAATTACTAAAGACTTGCACACCCATTAAAGACATTGACGATCGAAATAGGTATAAAGTTAATGATGTCAAAACACGCTTAAACTCACCAGAATCGATACAATACCTCCAAAATTTAGTACCAAAAATGGCTCGGGTTTTTGATAATACAGACGCATTTCGTAGTGCCAAAAAATCTGGCTTAAAATCGGATAAAGCAAAACTTGGTTTATTAAATTCAGCACTTTCTGCAATCTATGGGATAAAGTTTAAAACTACTAATAATAAAAATACGCATTACCATCTAGTTGGAGCATTTGACAATGAGGATGCTCCCAAATTACCACCATATCAAACGGGCGAAGATTGGGAAAATGGAGAAGAATGGTGGTATTCTTATAGTAAACTCTCACCCGATGAATTAGAAACCTCTTCCAATTCTATCACACAAGATACTCAGGATCTATTTGATATCTGTTAAAATCATCATCTATCCGATGAGGATATGTCATATTTTACAAAGGGGGTTTTTGTGATGCTTAAAAATGATACTTGTAAAAAATTATCCCATTACGAAGACCATTTTTGTGATGCTTAAAACTGATATCTATAGTCATATAGTGGGTATAATTACACATCAGCTTCTATTCTCTGAGTTTTTTGTCTCTCATACCAATTTCGAAAATAAACCCTCTTCGAATATATATTGATATTATTTACTGTACTAAAAAATGTATACCCAAGAGTTAGAATATACTAAAGAAACAATTACCGCTAAGCAATTATCCAAACTATCTAATCATTGGAGAAAGCCAAAAGTATATAACCCCAAAACGAACCGCATGATTGCAATCGATGGACCAACATATAATAAAATGATACGTGATGGATATGTGCATTGGGAAGAAGAAGGACTCTTGATTCCTCCATCACCATTCGAGAATTATATTAGCGGAGCAAGCACAGACACGAAGTGTCATTATTCCATAATAGGTGCTAAAAAATAAAATACTGTAAAGCGTTATCATAGCCTGGGCTCCTACCCCCAAAGCTATAAATTTTTTTGTTATATTTTATGTATTGGTAAATTTCAAATCGACAGATCTGTTCCGGCCAATTTTTTCCAAATATCGGGTGGCGATACCCAGATTTAAATATCTTATTTTAATATATAATTCAATTTCCTTGATGGTTGCACAGGTAATATTACAATTGGAAATGTCGAGCTGTTGGATCTTTGGACAAGAATGAATAACATTCCAAATCGTTATTTCAGAGAATTCTTTACGATTAGAAATATTCAGATATTCTAATTTATGGCATGAATTTGCAATTGCATGTAGACCTTTATCAGTTATTAATCCATTATAATACCCCTTTGTCAAGTTGAGATATTTCAGATTGGGATATGATTCTGCTATTTGATTTAATGTTTTATCACTGAATCCCGCACTATAATATAAATCTAAATAAACTATATTTGGGAACAGAACCGCAATGTTTTTGAATTTTTTGTCTGAAAGTGAATGGTAGTGTGGAATTTCCAGATGGGTTACATTCCAACAATAAACTGGCTTATGTTCACCGCATATTATTTCCATAAAACTTTTTCGTATATTACTCTTATTTAGCTCAATTCGTTTCCATAGAATAGGAGTGCCACATCTGTACCACAATTGGGAAATGTATAGAGAAGGATAGAGAGATTTATCTATCAATAAGAAATATAAAATCTGTTCTAACACTTCTGGTATACTAAAAATTCTTGAATGTGTCATAATAATATGTGTATTAAAAATGCAAAGAACGATTTAAATTCCAAATTGGTGTACTAGTTATCCCGTACATCGACATATACTCTCTTTTTCTGAACATGGGAGGAAAAAGGATAATTAATTTCGATTTGAAAAAAGAATCTTCATAGTGTATATAACCTAAAGAAGTGTATATAACCTACTTGACCTATTATAACATTCAATCATGTCAGCCATTGCAACTAAAATCATTGAAAAATACAATCTCAGCCCCAAGATGGGTCTATCTGGACTTAGTCCACACACCTCAGAGTTTCTCAAGAATCTTACTGATGATAGAAAGTGGAGTCAAGCTCGACGACGACTTCGAGATGGTTTTAAATTTACCAATGAACAGGTGGGTATATTGATACCTAATCAGAGAGGTGGGAGAAATAGGGTCTTTAACCCATTACAAAGTAATAAAACCATAAGCATTATTGAGGGTAGTTGCAAAATGGTTATAGCTTCGTCCCCAAAAGATTTAGAAGAAGAAATTATCAGAGAGATAGCAAAACGAATCTTGCAAAATAGATATGGGTTTAGTGTGAATCAAGTAAATGCCTTATTCTCTACTCAGGAAAACGAAAGTAAAACCAAGCACAAAGTGCCCTGCTCTGCAGTAAACATTGTTATCTCTAATCAGACTCCACAAGAAACTATCGGAGATATGGCACAACGATTCTTACAGGATAAACTTAGTATTAGAGATATAAGAGCCGAAGCTTATTCCTTAGCCCTATCGGCATCAGATGCTAATGCTGGTTCATCGCGTCTCTCTCGTCTTCGTAGAGAATTAAGGAACCTTAATGCATCACTTGAGATAATCGAGGCTACGAAATTTCCAGATATTACAGAAGATGCCAAACAAAATCAGAGTGACAATCGGAAAAAGGCTGAAGCTAATTGTATCGATTATCCAGATGAATTTACATTAGAATCAGTCAAAGAAAGATTAGATGTGTATGATATTAAAACTTTACCTGATTGTCAGGCTCTTGCTGATGTTATGGTGATGCTTTGTATTCGTCCTGCTGAACTTAAAACTTTACGCATTACAGATGCTGGAGTGACAGGTTATGCAAAGAATCGAGGTCAGCCAGATATTCCTAGAAAATTTAGATCTATGGAAAAGAACCAAGAAAGAGCCAGAGAATTGCTTACTTGGATTCAACGCGCTATATATTCTGGTCGAATGGGTAATCCAGGTAAGCCAGGGGTTAAATGGTTTAATAGATTCTTAAAAGATTATGATTTAATTCTTAAATATTTACGTAAATTAGGAGCAGTTTACGGTGCAGTAGTACATAAAGCTGAGAATCCAGCCCACGCCTATACCATTGCTGGAGAATGTCTACGTCATTCATCTGATAACCATACTTCTCTAGCACAAAACTATGTCGTGGTAAACTACAGGAAGCGGGGACAAAAACCCGAAGAAGTGAGACCATTCCATCTCTATGATGATGATAACTAATCAAGCTTCTTTGCTTTCACCACTTTCACAGTAAAATCTTTATCATCGTTGCCGGAGGTAGTCACTTCGTAGCTAGACGATTCAGAGCCAGACCCAGATGAAGACGAGGATGAAGATGCGGTATCATTTAAAATTTTCTTTTTTCTTTTAGCCTTGCATGGTGTATGATTTCTTTGAGAAATATTGGGGTTTACTATCGCGTTTATAATATCTTGCCGAATCTCGGGCTTCACTATCTCCAGTAATTGATGAAGAGAAATCCAGATTTTTTACCTGCCACTTGCTTAACAATGCCAGATACCGCTTATCAGTAATATTGGATAAACTTTTATCTTTTTCAAAACCCAATTTTTTCGCAACCTCGTAAGTGATAATTGGACATTCTGAACCTGAATCAATTACACTCTGTTGCTTTAACATCGCTTCAAATTTTTTACAGACACTTTGTATTGTCTCAGGATTATCAGCTTCGGTCATTGTAATAGTTAAATTATTTTATTAATACGAATTTAAAAATGCAGAATAAATATATTGTTATAATAAAACATCACAATGACAACTTTATCCTGCGAAATTAATAAAGTACCAGTTACAACTATATTAGGTTCCGTTGCTAATTGTAATATTATAGCTGAGGAGGTAGTAAATGAATTAGGTTCCCGCCTTCTCGTGACTCATAACTCGAAGCCAGATATTTTTAGTTGACTCTATATAAGATAACTATTAGTCTTTTTTTGAACTTGAGAGAAAAAAGGATGGAAACAAGTAAAAGTTACCGATATTTTTGTTGTTAGTATTCCTGAACATGTACTGATATTAAGGAGCTCATGGTTTAAAGATAATACAATGAAGCTGGACTTCCCGAATAAAACTTACATTACTCGATGGAACTAGTTGCGAGGTTAAGTGTAATTAAGAATATCCGGAAAATGCATAGTATATATGCCTAAAATTAATTATCCGAATATTAGTTATTTTTTCCGATTAAAGATATATAATATATATTACTTGAGAATGGCGCAATTATTGCGGAGCAATGATCCAAAGGATCTAAATATTTTTGATTTACCGGAATTACTAGAACAAATCTTATATTTTTTAGAAAACGATCGATCTCTCTATCCTGCTTTATTTGTTAACCACATTTGGTACCACTGCAGTGCTCCTATTATATGGCGTCGCGTTGAGTTTTTCAACGAAGATTATCAGCAGAGTCGGCGTGCCTTAAATATGTCTCGGGTTCTTACT